CAACAGGACATGAACTATGGACGAACTGCTTGCGTTTTCGTAACGATGACAAAGGAAAACAAATCTTTAATAACTTCACACGCTTCTTTATAAACAGAATCACGGCAAACGCAATAGAAAAATACCAGAAATAACCGGAAGACAAATGTCTGCATCGAAGCAGTGTCCATGTAGACGCAGATATTACAACTCATTCGTGTGACAAATTCATGATTGAAAGAAATAAATGCAACTGGTAAAAATGATGAAGAGCTAAGCAAACTGGATTTAGAAAGTCATACAGGTTTCAGTAAATCACACACTCAGATATTACTGGATTGGTTGGCGCAAAATGGAGCAAAGAGCAAAAGCATGGGAATGATTGTAAATGAAACAGACGATAAATGATTAAAACCAAGTGAAATGGAAACATGATATTTGTCAGGTTGGAAAACCTGTAATTTTTTCTACATCACACGTTTAGGTGGAAGCTGACAAATTTTTGTTCGATTCTTTCGGCTTGACCAAACTGGCCTCATCAGACGCACGTCGATAGTAAGCCCCGGTGTGTTGGTTCCAAGAATCATCAGTTTCCATGGGTGCGATGGATTGTGTCGAGCTGTGATGCGATTCAACTGACTCAATCAGATGGTCCGCATTTGGAAACAGACACCAGTGCTGGACCATGAAGAACACATCGAACACGACCGAGAATAGACCGAGGCCAACTTTCGTTGGAGAACCGAAAACACTACCGTAATCATCTGAAATACAGTGAGAAACAATGGGTAATGAAAAATGCGAGTGGGAAGGGTTGAGAACCAGTCAGTCGTAAGACGATGCCTAAAACAGTTCTCATTTCTAATGCCTATCTGTGCTCTCTGGTTTCATACGGCTTCCAGAGGTTAGGTACTCATGCACGCATCACACGTATCCCTTTTCACTGCACTCACGTGGCTGCGGTGTTTTCGAATGAAAATGAGAGAATGAACGGTCAGAATCCGAGTCTATCACCATCATCAGTGAACTACTGGCAGTTCATGCAAGCTAGCTGACCGAAAACATTGATTCAAAATCAATCGAGAAAAGCCATACGACCACACGAACACTTTCCTGATTGCATCAGTGGTCACCGGCATGATCAGTCTTCGAAGTTAATTGGTCACCTTGGACGTACGACCCTGTTCGAAGGCTGGATGATCCGATGAACTGCACACCAACCACACTTGTGTGGTTCTGCACGTCAAGCTTCGACTAGCAAAGAGCTCCCAGTGTGAATACCCTAATATAAGTCATCCACTCCGGACTGGGCAATCTGAAACTATTCCCCCTAGGTGCCAATCGTGGACTGATTTCTCTGTTATTAAGACTTGCACTGTATATTATTATCCATGATAATAATATCAATAAAAAGCATAATCCAATAATAATAATAATAATAATAGTAATAATAATAATAATAATAATAATAATAGGGCAATAGGAGGTAATAGAATTCCGAAATGTTATTTGTACGATCTGACGTTATATTAGGCTGGAAAGAGTACTACATTACTCGTGAGTAGTCTAAATTTTATATAATAAATATTCTTCTCCAAATAGCAGAAAATGGAAGTGTAGCAATGACAGACACCAACAGAATAGCAGATGAAAAACAACACACATGATTATGCAATCCTACTGTTGCCTTTATTCATTAGCACACAACTTACCAAAGTTGTAGGCAATGATGAACATTTGTAAAATGCTCAACAATCCACCGGTCATATCCAAGCAAATGTTTCCGATGCTCCAACCGACGGTACTACGCCGTCGACAATTCATAACAGCCTGTCGGTGCAGGGTAACAAATAAAAAACAGCATAATTATTTCCATGAAAAAATGCATTACAAAGCGAACTCAGATAGTGACGGATTATCTCAAGACTTCCATGAAATTGGATATAGAATATCTTTTAAGAAATTAAAAGAAACAGTTTTTGGTAGATATTCCTCCCAAATAGAATGCGCCCTTCTGTCTTGATAAACATTGCACATCGAGGAGCATACCGAAATATTTTAAAACTCGTAAACCATAGCGATTTCCTTTCTTTGATTCAATATTGGAAGAGGAGTTTCTCCGTGACAAAGTTGAATAGAGAAGCAAAAAAATCAGGTTAGCACAATCTATTTTGGAGCAGGTCGCTGCATCCGTCCATGTGCAGACTGCAGCTAATGTGATCAACGCGAATGGTTTATCACTCTGGCGCTAACTTGGTGACAAATGCCCCTGGCATCTGAGAATTTCCTCAGACTTTTGAAACGACGATTTGACGTTGCGATAATCCGAAAGGTCATGCATTTGGCACCGGAAACCTTCTGAAGTACAGAACCCGACCCCAGAAACCAGCTGCAAACGATCCTTCAGGCGAGCTTTGACAGCTCTCCAGCTCATGTGCTGTAGGCCGTTTTTGACGATCTTGATGAAGATGGTAATCCTTTTACTTTATTCTTTATTCTTCCAAATCTCAAATTTTCCCATATGCCTCCTGTTTACGAGACCCATCGGATATCACTGAGCGTTTTGCAAGCAAGGCCAATCAATCAGAAGTTACGGGATTTTTAAAGACAAAAATTCCTTTTCCCTTAGCCGTGGTCAATGTCCACACACTCTATCAGATTGGTCAACAGGCTGCCTTGCCCTTGAAACCTTCCATTTAGATGTATGCTGTGTCTCCGAAACACGCATACAAGAGCCTATTTCCATCATCTCCCTGGGTTCCTCTGATCCAACCTCAACGCCACGTTTCACCCTTCGTGTACCAGGCGATTCAACATCCAAAGCTCGTGGTTTTCCTGGTGTTAAGATTGCGATAAGTGCCAACGATGAGCGCTCGCTTCTTGATTTGATTACAGTTAGTAGTCGACTGTGCGCTGTACGTCCCAATGGTTCAGCACGGGTAAACAGCTACAGAACAAAGCGTCGATTCTTGTTCATGCACCGACCGATTGCAGTACACCTGAAATCAAAGATGAGTTCGAAAAGGATCTTTCTCAACTACTCCAAAGTGTTCGATCAACGGACGTCGTAGTAGTCACCGGGGAATTCAATTTCTTCTATTAAATACCTACGTGTGATGAACAACAAACGGGGCGAAACCCATAGTCACAAGGACCTGCTGTTTAGTTGTGGAAATCGGCAACCTAAGCCCGGGACTTGAAGTGGCAAACCACATAAGGCCCCGCCAGTGGGATACTTGGACGGATTGGAAAGGCTTCTTGACGGACCACATGTAATCCCAGCAAACCGGACGGACAACAGAGATTGCCTACTTCGACTCTGCGCGGACCACGGATTGTTCCTGTCAAACAGGTACAAGGAAACGACGCCGCCTTACATGGAAACTGCCAATCTCTTCACAGCACTGGACCCAAATCGACCACGTCGCCATCAGTTACCACTGGAAGAGACCGATTCAGGACTGCCGCTCTTACTGGTCAACACCTGTGGATACGGACCACGCCTTGTTACAAGCCAAATTCTCCTTACGCCTGGTAAAGAACCGCAAAAAAACAACCGACAACGGATACCCGCGATACAATATCAGCTACTGTTAGAAATTGGCCTTCGTAGCGGAAGTCTCCGATCGCCTATCAGCTCAATCACCACCCGAAGGACTCAATGGATACTGCAAGCTAATCGAGGAAGCTATGCAAATATCGATAAAAACAAAGTCCGACCCTGCCGCAAGCACCAGACACAAACGACGGATCTCGTTGACCTCGACTGTCCTGCTGGACGCCCGCAGAAACCTCCCTCTCGATACCACATATGACGGAGTGCAAATCCCTTAAACGCCAGCTCACCAAGGGTCTGAGGATTGAACACTANAGTGTAAAGAGATGGGGAAAGGGGCTATTGGTAATTGTCGCAACATTTTTCGTCTAATTAGGAATACAGGCGTAATTGAGGCAATTAAGAAATCCGATGGCATCAGCAACGCCGTCTTGACCGTTGAGCTGAACATTTCAAGGCTCAGTTCAACTGGACCTCTTCGACATCTGACAAATCACCCACCACCTCGATTGGGCAAACACTACCAGTTGATGCAAGGCCTCCATCTGAAATGGAGGTTTTCCGGGAAATAAGCCCCCACAAAAAGAATAAGGCCTCCGGCCCAGACGGGCTGTCCCCATCTATCATCTGGTATAGGTAGTACCCTGACTTTCTTTCAATATTTCAAGCTCACATTGTTCGCTATAAAATCTGTATAGGCTTTTCTGGGGAAAAACGTGTAACATGATGTCCGTAAACATCCATTCGTTTGTTCGTCCATTTCTGTTGTTGCCGGTGTATACCGAAACCGACTGATTCATTCGTTAAGGGGAGTGCTGGTCGACACCAGTGCCGCTGTTATTGGTCATGACCTCGTTGACTGGTTAAGCAAAACAGGTGATCCAGGAAAAAGTGCATCGCTCAAACACGGTAAAAAGTGCGTTGAACCGAGGGTACGATGATCTTTGATCAGTGACCAATCTCCTCAATGCTCTAGAAAGAACTGCTGCGACGATTGGCACAGGCGGGTTAATGCAACAGCGGTTATCGATCGACTGGAGACCTAACATCCTACTCAGTACACTCGCTTACCAGCAATGTCCATTGTGATTATCGTTTACCTGCAACAAAAATTTCACTCCGATAAGCGAGACTTATCTTAGGGCCACAATCGTGGCTTTGGTGACCACAGTAACAAAATTGACCATAAAACTAGATCAAAACACTCCAGTTTTCCCATAGTATTATAGAACGAACCTGGGTAGAGTACAAAGATTTGTGTAGCAAAATCATAAATCGCGTGTTGATTTAGATTGGCTTTCCGCTGGAAATCATTTGCAAGCACCCGTAACTTCCCACGAACTTCGAGCTTGAACCAAGGCAAACAACTTGAATTGATTCAGTAAATTCTGCACTTTGATGATTGAAATAATTTTCGACCCACTCACTGATCCAAATTTATGTTCTTTTTTGCGAAGTTTACATTGGTTCGAGATTTCATTTAAAACCTGAACCTGAGATTCGATACATTTTTAAATAATCCACTTCATCATCTAATTCTAAATAGGAGACTTCTTCAAAACGACGCTCACAAATAGATGCGTAAAATCTTCGATCCCACAGCTTTTATCTTCTGGTGGCTGCCTTACCGGCTGATTCAATGTGGGTTAGAACCCGGCTTCTAGGAAAAAGTTGATTAATATATACGGATGAACAGGCATCCAAGATTTTTACCAGATTAGTGACAATGAGAATGTCCATTTCGGCTTCACTTTGGATTGTTCATTCTCTACCAAAGACAACACCTATTCCAGCAAATATTCCCGAAAAAGAGAATTTGAAAGACCAAACCAAGGTCCATTGGCTGTAACACCGAAGAACAGTTTGAGGGCAGCCATGCTAATTTTGCATTCGAGAATGTTGCAGGCATTGTAATACCAAGGAGCGTAATCCATCAATAATAGAATAGAGCGTCCTTGACAAACCATCAGGCGGTTGATATCGGACGACCAGCTTTGAAATAACGCAACAGTGATAGCTATTCTCTAGTCATACTAGAACAACGTAGTAAAGTGACTCTGTCCTTAGATTTCTTGGCTTTAGAAACTGTTTGTTCTTTGAAACGTAATGTTCCTTTTAGGATCTGCTTGTTATACGAAGCTGTTTCATCAGCATTGAATGTGTCACAATCGGCATATCCAAGGATCAACTGCGTTTAATCTCTCTCCCCGTCTCTCGAAGTTCGTCCACCGTATCACGCAGTGTGGTCAAACTTTGCTACCTTAGTTTATAGGGGTGAATGCCAAATCTGTCTGACCAAGAGCAAAACCGATTTTTCCTGAGAGGCACTAGAGCTAACGAATTATCCGATAATGGTTCGATTGGACATAATATTATAACAGTATTTCATGAAATACTAACTGTACTCTTTTGTGTCTGTGGACTCGCCAAACGTTATGCTACGGTGGCATAATGCTTGTCTACCCCGACGTGTCGGTTGAACGAACTGATTAGTTCTTAAGCTTTGAAAATTAGCCGCTGCACTTTCTTGCTAGCTCGCACCACCACCTTTGCATTACGGATCGTGATCCAGTGACCTGTCTGTACGCAGTGGTTCCAGATATGTGACCTCTGGTCAGCGCGAAGGAGGACAAGTTTGTGTTCGTGTATGCGAAAGCGTAGATTATCTGCTATATTTATTATTGGCTACAAATTAGGCACGGGATTGCGTAAACTACACCTGAGTGTTCGTTCTGTTCGACCCCATCCTTGGCGTTGAAAAAGAACAAACTCACGGCTATTAGTGGCTGTGACCTACTTTGATTATCAAAGCATTCGGTGACTCATGATGTCTCGCGTGTGTACGGTAGCGTTATCCTAAGTTCCTCTTTTATATGTGTCGGTTGTTTTCTACCCCTAATGCACGCGTTCAAAAAACTCCTGGGGTATGCGTTGGATAACAACAGTTGAAAGAGTTGACTTTTTCCCTTGATCTCAGCTTCGGTGTGCTGTAATATGTGTTCGTTCGGTAGAACGGAGTTCGTCCAACCTTTTATTAGGTGGTACACGGGTGTTTACTGTCATAATTTAGGTTACCGGTTATGCATTTTTAACGATAGACGGTGGTGTAAATAATGTGGAATGATTGTAGAATGGGGAACAGGTGTTGGTGTTGGTGAGTCCCCCGAGCTGGATATGTTGTTTGCGGACGTTTCGTAGTCAGGCTGGGCAACATCGTCAGTGCAACTTCGGGGATGATTTTACCTAAACTGGCTACGAAACGCCTGCGAACAAAACTTCCCGTTCTGTGAACACACCAACACTAACACGATAGACGGTGATTTTATTTTTCCATCTGACTACCTAGTAAGAAAGTTGAGCGTCTGATCATTCCGTGTGAAGGTCATCACAGATACCAGTTGGTTACGATTTTGGTGGAACTGGTTCAAAGTGCTAGTTCCGGGTCTTATATATGTGTCGTCCACAGAGGAGGGTGTAGGATTTCAAATGCTTTGGCTACGAGGGTTTCACAAGTGTACCTGCAAGATGGTCCGAGAGTGGTGAACACATCTGAGTTCCTCGTGTGTGCTTGTACACCTTTCTGTCGAACTCGAAGTAGATTTCCACGCAAACCTCGATGAATCATTAGTTCATTCTTCGCTAAACTCTGGAGCACCGGCATTCTTTTCGTAGACCTACCATCTCTGTCTTCCTAGATCTGAAAGCGACTTTCGACTCAGTCGACCGCTCTAAACTCTGGCGCTGCCTTTCTCTAGAGAGTGTGCCCGAGAAGTTAATTTCATTATTACGATATCTCTATACTCATGGCCGAAGCCGAACTTACGGCACATTTTCACCCGAGTTCACCACGGAAAGTGGTATTCGTCAGGGTTGCCCTC